GCAAATTCAACACCCTATGGAGGTCAAGGAGCTGAAAACCAATTTCTTCCAATTCATCTTCGGAAGTATGGCTGACAAACAGAAGGTCTTCTCAGGTATCAACTGGGTGTATGAAAATCAATACTTGATTTTGGCTGAATGGGAAGAAGGCCTCAATGAGTGGCACAGTAAATTTGAAGAGCTTAGATTATGGGTTCAAGTCAGTGATGTGCCTATTAACTGGCTCAGTCAAGAGGTGGGGTTAAAAATAGGCAAAATGTTCAAGCAAACCAAAAATGTCTCAGTAGTTAAGGCAGGAGGTCAAAGGGGGAGCTTTTTCAGACTTCTTGTTGTGGTTGATATCTCAAAACCATTACCTCGTATAGCAAACCTGAAGTTGAATAACACGCAAGTTAGAGCCAGATTTCAGTATGAACGGTTGATCAACACTTGCTACTATTGCGGAATCATTGGCCACTTGGAAAGGCATTGCAGCAAGCAAATGGAAGACATTGAAAAAGGCACTTTGCGTGGAGGCCAATATGGTGACTGGTTAAGAGCAATGGAAGGAGGTCTAAAATCTAACACTTCATTTAGCTATGGCAGTCAATCCACTGAATTCCCTACAGCAGAACCAGAGTATAGTGAAGGAACTAAAGAGGATACTCCTATCCACAAATCTGCAGGGAGTGGAGTTCAAATGCAGAAGGGTAAGGAGACAAGTGATGCAAAAACCACAGAGCATATGGAGGGGGCTCAGATAGTTTCTGGAGAGCAACTTCTTGCTTTAGCCCTAATTCCAGAATCAGATCATTCTCTAGATCTTGCACTCCATCACAGTGCTGAAACTTTTATAGGATCTGAGCAAGCCCATATGATTGAGACAGTAACTGAAATAAACATGATCGAAGCCCAAAAAAGGAAAGGTTGGAAAAGACTATCCAAAGCAGCTAATGGTGAACCTACTCAACCAGTCATTGATCCTCAAGACCCATCTGATATAATAACAAGAATGAGGAAGAGGAGTGCTTCAATTGTCATCAGGGAGAATGCTGAGGAAAGCAAGAATTCCAGAGAGTCCAAAAAACAGAAGAATGAGTTATTTGAGGTGGGGGTGGCCAGCCTTGAGTGGCCCCCAATGGACCAATGAAACTCATCATGTGGAACTGTAGAGGGTTGGGTGGACCCTCTACAGTTGCCCAAATTAAGGAGTCCTCTAGACTCATCCATCCAAATTTTGTCTTCTTATCAGAAACCAAAAAGAAAAATAATTATATTAAATCTGTATGTAATAATATTGGCTTTAGAGATAGATGGTTTGCAGTAGAGCCTCAGGGGTTAAGAGGTGGTATGTTGGTTTTGTGGAGTTCAGAGGTGGTGGTGAAGCAGATCATTAGCAATCACTTTTGTATTCAATTGGAAGTGGAAGGAATAGGAGAAGTGGATCCTATTTGGATAGTGTTTGTTTATGCCAGTACAGACAAAAATGAAAGAATGAGGCAATGGAACTTTCTTGAAGTTGCCAGATGCTCATGGGGGAAAAAATGGATCTTGGGGGGGGATTGGAATGAAACATGTGACCCAAGTGAGAAGAAAGGAGGAAGGGTCAAGTCAGCAGGAGAACTCTTCCACTTCAACAATTTTATAGCAAATATGGGGATGCAAGAGCTTAAACTTTCAGGGCACAATTTCACTTGGGAAAATTGCAGAAGTGAGGAAGGCTATATTGAGGAGCAGATTGATAAGATTTTTGTCTCCTTTGACTGGCTAGTTGATCACCTCAATGTTGAAGTGCAAAACATCTTCAGGAGCTCATTTGATCATAGATTGCTGGCTCTTAATGATAATCCATCCAGTCAGGAGCATAGACACAAACGTTTTTTCTTTGACAAAAGGTGGTTGAAGAGAGATGGTATTCAAGAAGTGGTGCAAAATAGCTGGCAATCAGAACAAGCTGGTACTCCTATGTACCAGGTTTCAGAGAAAATTAAATCCACAAGACTGGCACTGCTGAAATGGAGTTCATCCTTTAGGCAGAACCAGCTCAAAGCCAAGGTTCTTTTAAATGAGAAACTGGATGAAATGAGCAAGTTGGGAGCAAATAGAGATTGGGAGGAATGGGGATTATTAAATAAAGAATTGGACAGAGTCACAAGAGATGAGGAAGAGTACTGGGCCCAGAAATCTAGATCGCAATGGATTAAAGAAGGGGACTCAAATACCAAGTTCTTTCATGCACTAACTCTTCAAAGGAGGCGGTTGAATGCTATTACCAGACTCTTGGATGATAACAATCAAATGCTGGAAGATAAGGAGGACATTCAGCAACATATTTGTCAATTTTACAAGCAGCTTTTCAGCACTGAAGGTTCAAGGGGAGCAGCAGACATCTTGCACTTAATCTCATCATCAATATCACCTGAGCAGAATGAGCTTCTTATTGCTCCAGTGACAGAAGAAGAAATTTCAGCAGCCTTATTCAGCCTTGATCCTGGGAAAGCTCCAGGATTAGATGGTATGAGCCCCCTTTTTTTCCAAAAATTCTGGTCTACCATTAAGCATGACTTTTGCACAGCCATCTGCAGCTTTTTTGAGTCAGGCCAACTGCTTAAGAGTTGGAACCACACCCTGATTTCTTTGATCCCCAAATGTTTAAGTCCCTCATCCCTCAAGCAGTATAGGCCTATAAGTCTTTGTGGAGTCTCATATAGAGTCATTGCAAAAATTCTATCCCTCAGACTCAAGCCTATGTTATCCGGTTGCATAAGTGAAAACCAAGCTGCTTTTATTCCGGGTAGGCAGCTACTAGACAATGTTGTTATAGCCCATGAAGCTGTCCACTATCTCAACAGACTTAGGTCTGGTAAGAAGAGCTTTATGATGATCAAACTGGATATGGAGAAGGCTTTCGATAGAATTGAATGGGATGGGGTTCTCAAAATCCTTTTGAAAATGGGGTTTCATGCCAAATTTGTTAAATGGGTGAAAGCTTGCATATCATCCACTTCTTTTTCTATTAATCTGAGTGGGGAGATCAAGGGTTTTTTCAGTGCTTCTCGTGGAATTCGACAAGGGGACCCTCTGTCCCCTTACATCTTCATAATCATTTCTGAGGTGTTTTCTAAATTGGTTAAGCACGAAGTTTCCAGTGGCAGATTTAATGGTCTGAAAATTGCTAAGAAAAGCCCATCTATCTCCCATCTCATGTTCGCTGATGATACCTTGGTCATGTGTGAGGCTAATACCCATCATGCTCACACTCTCCTTCATTTGCTCAATAAGTACCAGGCATTTACAGGTCAGAAGGTGAATATGAGCAAGTCCTCCATCTTTTTTAGCAAGAATTGCTTGGATAACAGTAAGTTTGAGATTTGTCAGATCCTGGGGGGAATTCAGATCCATAGATCGACTAAGTACTTGGGGTTGCCCCTGGGTATTGGAAGATCAAAAAAGGACTCCTTTGATTATGTTTTGAATGCTGTCAGAACTAAACTTGTTAGCTGGAAAAACCAGCTCTTATCTAATGCAGGCAAAGAGGTTCTTTTGAAAGCTGTATTGGGAGCTCTCCCTGTTTTTTCTATGTCTTGCTTCTGTCTGCCTAAGAGTTTGTGCAAGGAGATTGCTACTTTGTCTGCAAAATTTTGGTGGAAGTCTGGTGATAAACAAGCAGGTGTTCACTGGAAGGCCTGGAAGAGAATGACCATTCCAAAAAGTGCTGGTGGACTGGGGTTTAAAGATGTAGCTTTGTTCAATGATGCCCTTATCATTAAGCAAATCTGGAGGTTAGTCACTAATCCTTCTTTGCTTGTTACAAAAGTTCTTAAGGGGAAGTATTTCCCTGACTGTTCTGTTCTGCAAGCTCAAAAGCCTTACAATGTTTCCTGGTTGTGGAGTAACTGGTTATGGGTGAAGAATAAATTCAAACAGTTTTTCCAAGTGGTTGTGAGAAATGGCAGAGCTACTAGAGTTTGGTGTGACCCTTGGATACCAGGCACTCTTGGAGGTTTACCTCAGAAAACAGATAGAGGGGTCAAAGAAATTTACTGGGTCCATGAACTGATTGAGGATGATGGTAGGCATTGGAATCTAGCTAAGATTGCAGAGTGTTTTACTGATTCAGATGCAGCAGCCATACTAAAAATTTCCACTCTTGACCCTCTGGCTGATGACAAATGGAGCTGGGCTATAGATAATAAAGGCAAGTTCTCTGTCTCTAGTTCTTATTCTCACTTAGTTATTGCCAAAATCAGAGAACTTGACTTACCAGAGAGCAGCAGTTTTGGTCAATGTGAGCTGAAAATGAGAAATAGGAGCTGGGGTTTGAAGATTAAGAACAAGCTGAAGCACTTCATCTGGAAGTGTTGTACAAACACTCTGCCTGTATCATTGAATCTGAGAAAGAGAGGTATTGATGTAGATCCAAGGTGTAAAAGCTGTGGAGAAAGTGAAGAAACAGTGGAACACCTGTTCCTGCATTGTGAAAGAGCTAAAAAAATCTGGAAATTATCACCTTTGGATTGGGATAAACCTGCTGAAGCTGAGCACTTCAAACATTGGTGGTGTAATGTTTGTTCCATTGACAAAAGGGCCATATCAGAGGACATAATTGAATTGTCTACATATATCCTATGGTGGCTCTGGAAGTCAAGGAACTTATGGAAATTTCAAGACATTTGGATGCCCGAGCAGGCTGTGATCAAAGCAGCTCAGTGTGATTGGTTAGAATTCAAAAATTGCAGAAGCCATTGATAGAGCAGCATGCAGATTGG